GGTCTTGTGGGTTTCTTTGTGATTGGGATGGTTTTCTTTCCCAATTATTTTTTAAATGAACAATACACCCAGTTGATGGTTGTCCTCACCAAAGAAGTTGCAAGCCAAAGGATAGGCACGTAGCAGAAGTGTTCTGTTGTAGCTTGTAGCAGGAATACTTTTTATGGGGAGTGAGAATTGCAGGGGAGTGGTGGGGGGTGTTCATAGAACTGTCAGTTGTCACAGCACCAGAACACATATTGTTACTATGTACCACTGCTTTTGGTAGCTGATTCTGTACTGGGACATGGCCTTTTTCCAATAGTGACTTATCTTCATTGTGTAAAAATAACATAATGGAATCAGCTTGCTTAATTATGGCAGAAGGGGCTTTATGGATGTGTACTGATGGATAGGGCTGACAGCTACTCTGTAAACATCCCTGCCTTCTAAAATCTTTTGCTGATTCATACAACTCCATTTCCCCTGGCTCTTCTCAGTTGAAACAGGAGTCAGCATATGACATCACCAATAGGTGACACTGTTAGGACTGGAACATGAAAGAAATATGTAAATTTATCTAAGAAAATAATGCTGGGCCCTATGTAGAGCTTGGTTTTACAGTTCTCGAATGCTGTATGGGTTATGAAATGCTACATTTTATTGTAAGAAAGAAAATTTTGTCAAATGCAAATAGAGAGAGACTATGTAAGAGAATTAGGATACAGGTATAGTCTGGCCATTTCCTGGTTTTTTGTGTTTAAAGGTGAAAAGTGTGAAGGTTAAGATCCCACCTTTTATCTAATTCATGGTATAAATCCTTATTATTTTTAAATGTACTTCTTAATGACTTGCATGGTAACTTAATAGCAAAAAAACCCCAATCTAAGCATTTTGAAGTAATTTTAGTATTAAACATTTTAAATATCTTGAATAGTTGGTATTTTACTCATATAATTTAGTTTATTGGATCTGAATAACTAATTCAGTACCAACTAAAACCAGCTACTTGGTATTTAATTTTTGGAATTTACTATAGTTTATTACATTCCTTCTTCCTACCTACAGAGAAGGAACATAATTGGTGAATAAAAATAACCTCTACTTGATTTTCCTTCTTAAAAACTTATGGCACAGTGCCTTTTTTAGTTAAGGATCTTGTGCTTTCTGTATGTACAAAACATTGGTACTTTTGTTGCTGTGCAGAGATAATGATGTCAAGCAGCTGAAGCAAAACAGTTATTGGAAAGAACAGTTTTTCCCATTTCAGAATTTCTTGAAGTGTCTTCTCTACTGGAGCTGCAAAGTTTGCTTTTGTAAAGAACTGTGCGCAACAGTATGTTCTATGCTTTAATTTTGTCTATTTGCACCATGAAGAAGAGGCAAAATCACTGTAGTGAATGACATCATATGTGCATCTATACATGCACTTTACTGCAGAGCTGCTCTGCAGTAAAGCATCACTGTCCACACTGCACCCATATTAGGGCCCAGTAAGTTAATTAACCCTGCTGTAGGATAGCACTTGTTCCAGACAGTACTATCTTACAGCAGAGTAGTTACGTGCATCACCATACACGTGGACTGTGACCAGGGCTGGCTGGGGCACAAGGCTGCTACAGTGAAGGGGCTGCCTGCTGGCTAGACCCACACTATAGCACCCCTAATTCCCCAGTTAGCCCATCCACAACATATTGAGCCAAGGCAAAGCAGCCCCAGGCTAGCAAGCTGATGCCCCCAGATCCCCTGCCTGCCCAGGCTGCACCACCCCAGCAACTTGCTGCTGTCCCAGGTGCACATGTGAATGCTGCACCTGGGAGCAATAAACTCTGAAACTAACATTGCTGGAGTTTATTGCTACATGCTAATTGCATATGTAGATACACCCTGTTTACAGAAACTAAAGAAGAGCAGCCTGTCCAAAAGAGGGGAAGAGTGAATGAAACTAATGGGACCTCAGCCCAAGGATAGAGAGACCAAGGGAGATCAAATGACAGGATCTGCCAATAGACAGAAAGGAGCAAGACCTGAGTGGTATAACTACCAGGAAAAGATAGATTTATGTAGCTGGGGCTATATTCCTAAGATGGATAGACCAGATATAAGGAACAATCCAGAGATCAGAAAAATGTGTTCTCTGCAGGGAACAAAGATATAGGACCTGATGAATTAATTCATTGTTTTTCATATAGGAACAGCCAGATAAGGGTTGATAAGGATAAAGAAACAAAAACCCTTGGGTAGAAATAATCTCTTTTATTAGACCAACTAAGTAGTAGCAAAAAAATTCTTTTTGCAAGCACTCAGGCCCAAATACCCTCCCTCAGGCATAGGAGAATTCAAAGACTGTAAAAGTTCTCCCAGGTAGAAATGAAACTTCATTGCACAGGAGGTAAAAAATGGCAGGGTTCCCCTAGGTATAACAGCCCGTTTTAAAAAAGGTTGCTCTGTGAGTTTCAAAGTAGGCATAGACAATAGGTTGGAGCAGTCTTGTTTCCTGATGGTGTCTGATTGTAGGCAGAATGTTGAATTTTGCTTCTATTTTGGTCAGCTGTGAAGTTTTCATTTCAAAACAGCTAATTACGATACCTTCCATGTTTCCGGGATATTGCTTCTAACCCAAGAGTTTTGTCTGCCCATGCTTTTAGACCAATATGACTAAAACCAGTATCCCTAAAACATGGAAGATATTGTAATAACCATTTATCTCATGAATCACATTTGCATACCTAACAGTGCTAACACTGTGCAGCACTGTTAAAAAGATGTCCAGGCACCTTGGTTAAGAATCACTGTTCTAAGGTACTGTCCTGCCCTGCTTTACATTAGATGGGAGAATATGCTTAAAAGAACTAGAAGTCCAAGAGAACTTGAGTGGGATTCTTCCCATATGAAGAGCAGCTGGGAGGAGGAGCAGGATAGTTAACAGATGGCTCAGGGCTTGGCACTACTGGGAAGCTTCAGGAATGTCTGCTCACTGGCAAACGATCACACACAGACAACTCTGCTCTACAGATAGACTCCACACAAGTAAGCATAAAAATAGCATTTTGGGATCAAGGCTGAGCTGACTGATTAGGCATTTAAATCAAGACTAACTGAAACAATGAAGACAGTTAGGGAGGTATACTGAATTAGACAGCTAAAAGACTTTGGTGTAAAAAGCAGCAAAGAATTACTTTAATGCAAAAATGCAAATATTCAAGTATTCTCAGGAACTTGCATCCCAAGGAAGAGAAAAACATTTATGTAGGTCTGTTGCCCTTTCTTATTAATGAGCTAGTACCTTGAGCAGGCCATTCAGGCTAGAGGATCTATAAGGATTAGAAGAAATTGATCAGTAAAGAAAGATCTTTTTGTAGTCAAAGGTAGCAGAAATAAAGTGAGAATGGCATCTAGGTTTCTCTCTTGGATCTTTGAGGTAAACCTTACAAAGAATATTAAAACAAATAGTAAGAGCTCCCTCCCGCCTTAGGTTGGCTTGGCAGGGATTGTGGGTTTCTTTTCCTTCCTTTGTAACAAAGATACTCCTCTTCCTAAAATCCACAGGACATTTTTTTAACCAATTACATCTGTATCATTGCAGTGGAAGGGCCCATCTCCCCTACTTTTACTTGTGGCATGTTATAGAGAATTCCTTACATTTCTTGTCTTGTTTCTTGTTGTTTGGATTGAACAATTTTTAGGATTCTTTGGATAAATGGTTGCCTGTGAATGCCAAGGATGACCCTTTCACTTATGCTCTTGCTGCTGTTTATTACAAATATACCTGCATTACAGAAAGTACAATTTTTAACTGCTGCAGTGCTGCCATCTTGAGGAGAGGGCAGTGGTGAGAGGGAAAGGGAGAAACACATGGCACAAGTGGGATGTTTGGTCCATATTTGCAGAATGTGGAATTTCTGAGGGAGGAGGGGAAATATATCCTGTTGGCACGTGGAACAAAAAGCTCCTTAACCATTGCATTTTAGTACAAATTTCTTACTAATAGTAATGCCATCCACAGCCAAGTCATTCTGAGTTTCAAACAGTATCTCTTGCATCTAAGTTTGTGTCTTAGGGCTTGAAGTATTGAAGAAATCTCTTCATGCTTGAGGTCCACTGCTGCTTTGGGGGTTACCCATTTTACCTCTTTCTACTCCATGACCTGGAAATAGAACCCAGGAGTCATGACTCCTGTCTGCCTCTGCTCTAACCACTGAACCCACCATTCTGTGTGTCCATGTGGAGACACTGGGCTAGTTACTGTAATGCATTTGTGTATTACTGTACCACAGGCTGGAATCAAGGCACATCCTATCTTCATGTTAACACTTAAAGAAGATGATATCCAGTCAATATAACCTGAGAGAGACGTGGAGGAACAGCTTGACCATACACAGGGAGATAAAGGATGAAGCAATGCAGTGGAGATAGTAGTGAGACTCAGAAGTAAAAGAATTAACTTTAAATGTGGATGCATCCACAAAAACCTTATACAAAAAAAACCTTACTCCATAATGGCCATTTCATTTTACAACTATATTAATACATGGTAAGACACCACAATTTGCACAAACAACTTTTCATGGATGTACAGCAGTTGATGCCAAAGAGCAACAGAAAAAGAACTGCACTTTCTTGTACAGGCAAGGTCTAACATCAAACAAATTTTACTAGTTTCCCATTACTGATTTTTAAGCAAGTGGCCTGGTTTAGACTTAGGAACAAAGGTATTTAAAAGCAGGTTAGCTAATGTGTTAACACATTCTAACACGCACCACTTAATCCCCTAGTGTGGTTAAGATTTAACATATTCTAAAACCTGTTAGGCTGTTATCGATCTTAAGCTCTAACAAGTTTTTGCAGTGAAAATCAGTGGTTTGCCTCTATCTACACCTAACATCACACCTTTTTGCCTTAGAACGTGCAAAAGTCTTCTAGTTGCTGGCTGTATGCATTTCTGAAGACTATTTCCTTTTCAATGGATTTTGTGATGTCGCATTGGTCTTATTAACAAAAGAAATTCACTCAAGCACAAAGTAGGTATATTATTTTATTTCACAAAATTATGGAAATTACTTTCGTGAACACTAACATTTTACTTCAGATAGCCCTTCTGAATACTGCTTTATCCAAAAGATTTTTCCTCTAATCCACCAAAGTCACCAATGAAATGTAGCTTTGTGCAATGAAGTTAAAAGATTTTCATGGATGAAAAATGTAAATCCTCCTTTACAACAGAAGGAAATATATTTTTAGAATGCTACTTACAAAGCATTCACATTTTAAAGAAACAGCTTGGTTAACTTGAGATTGGTTTTAGCAGATAGTGACAAGAGTAAAATTTTTCAAAAATACCCAAAAGGGAGATGCACGCATGTTTTGGTTTCATTACCGAAGCCATTCCAGATGAACACTACTGAGATTAGAGTCTAAAATTTAAGAATCAGTTAAAAGAGATGAGAATTCTGAAAAGATTTCATCGAAGAAGCTGGTCAACCTCCTTGGATTTAGCTTCCTTAGTTTTTCTTAGTAGTGCTTGCTTAATTGCATTGATCTTCTCATCAAGTTCTGCCAATGAATAATTCTGCTACAAGAAGAAAAAAAAACAAATACCACACAATTTACATCTTGGAATTGCCAGAGACGCTTTCCAGCAAAATTTCAGATATTTTACTTCATGATGATTCAGTACCAAGATAAAAATACTTTCAGAAAGTTGTCTGAAACCTGAAGAATCTACGAACTACCTCTATTGGGAAGGGAAAAACAAAAATCACAGAACAAAGACAAAAATGTACAGCTGGAATGAACTTCAAGAGGTCATCTATTTCAGTGGTCTTCAACCTTTTTTCAAATGTGGACCTCTACAAAATTTTGAATAGAGGTGTAGACCCCTTCAGAAATTTTGAATGGAGGTGTGGACCCTTTTGAATTATAAGTAAATTATTCACATAATCTTGATTGATTAGTCATCTGCGGATCCCCCCAGGGTCTGCGGACCACAGTTTGAAAACTACTTATTTATTTACATCCCTCCTTTGTGGTAGAACTGAAGTATATCTAGTCTATTCCAGCAGATGTTTTAGAACAAAGTTTAACAGATTTTTAAATTAAAATATAGTGTTAAAAATTTGTACACTGAAACATGTCTGTGGCCACATGATTGGGAGACTGGTATCTGAAGGAAACTTAGTAACCCAACATTTATCTAACTGCACATATGAAGCAGTTACCTGGTTGTGCACTTTGATAATACTCCATTGAAAATGAGAATTTTATTTGAGGAAGTGGTTATAAGTAAACAAAACTTAATGTCACTTACGTGGGGTGGTTGAACCTTCCTCCTTTTGCCAGAAAAATTCTAGATTGAATAAATATCAACCAGACTTAGTACAGCATTTACTAAACACAAAGTAAAATCTACAGGGTCTATCATATCACTAAACAACAGAGGTGCACCAATACATCAGTCTGATATCAGACTGGTACCAATATGAACAAAATTGTCTATATCAGATATTGGCTCAATAGGACCAATAATTTCTGATACATGCCCATGCTGCGTGCAGCCACAGTACATCACGGAGCAGAGCCGGCAGCATGGCGAACTGCCTCCAGCTGGTAAATCAGAAGGGGAGGTGGGAGGGAA